TCGTTTGATGAAAACATCCTGATTAATAAATTCTGAAAGTTTGAAATCGATCTGATACTCCGAAGTATTTTTCAGGATTTTTCAAAGGTGATTTAACGTGAATTTTTCCAACTTTTTTCTGATATTTAGTTGGAGAAAACCTCATAATTTTATTTCTGAGCTTCAAATTGACTTCAAATTTACCTCATTTGATGAAAAGATCCTGGTTAATGAATCCTGAAAGTTCCAAGTCGATCTGATACTTCCAAGTATTTTTCAGGATTTTTCAAAGGTGATTTAACGTAAATTTTTCAACTTTTTCTGGTATTAAGTTGGAAAACACCTCATAATTTTATTTCTGAGCTTCAAATTGATTTCAAATTTGGCTCGTTTGATGAAAACATCCTGATTAATAAATTCTGAAAGTTTGAAATCGATCTGATACTCCGAAGTATTTTTCAGGATTTTTCAAAGGTAATTTAACGTGAATTTTTCCAACTTTTTCTGATATTTAGTTGGAGAAAACCTCATAATTTTATTTCTGAGCTTCAAATTGACTTCAAATTTACTTCATTTGATGAAAAGATCCTGGTTAATGAATCCTGAAAGTTCCAAGTCGATCTGATACTTCCAAGTATTTTTCAGGATTTTTCAAAGGTGATTTAATGTAAACTTTCCAACTTTTTCTGGTATTAAGTTGGAAAACACCTCATAATTTTATTTCTGAGCTTCAAATTGATTTCAAATTTGGCTCGTTTGATGAAAAAATCCTGGTTAATATATCCTGAAAGTTTCAAATCGATCTGATACTTCCAAGTATTTTTCAGAATTTTTCAAAGGTGATTTTACTTGAATTTTCCAACTTTTTATGATATCAAGTTGGAAAAAACCTCATAATTTTATTTCTGAGCTTCAAATTGACTTCAAATTTACCTCATTTGATGAAAAGATCCTGGTTAATGAATCCTGAAAGTTCCAAGTCGATCTGATACTTCCAAGTATTTTTCAGGATTTTTCAAAGGTGATTTAACGTAAATTATTCAACTTTTTCTGATATTTAGTTGGAGAAAACCTCATAATTTTATTTCTGAGCTTCAAATTGATTTCAAATTTGGCTCGTTTGATGAAAACATCCTGATTAATAAATTCTGAAAGTTTGAAATCGATCTGATACTCCGAAGTATTTTTCAGGATTTTTCAAAGGTGATTTAACGTGAATTTTTCCAACTTTTTCTGATATTTAGTTGGAGAAAACCTCATAATTTTATTTCTGAGCTTCAAATTGACTTCAAATTTACCTCATTTGATGGAAAGATCCTGGTTAATGAATCCTGAAAGTTCCAAGTCGATCTGATACTTCAAAGTATTTTTCAGGATTTTTCAAAGGTGATTTAATGTAAACTTTCCAACTTTTTCTGGTATTAAGTTGGAAAACACCTCATAATTTTATTTCTGAGCTTCGAATTGATTTCAAATTTGGCTCGTTTGATGAAAACATCCTGATTAATAAATTCTGAAAGTTTGACATCGATCTGATACGCCGAAGTATTTTTCAGGATTTTTCAAAGGTGATTTAACGTGAATTTTTCCAACTTTTTCTGATATTTAGTTGGAGAAAACCTCATAATTTTATTTCTGAGCTTCAAATTGACTTCAAATTTACCTCATTTGATGAAAAGATCCTGGTTAATAAATCCTGAAAGTTTCAAGTTGATTTGATACTTCCAAGTATTTTTCAGGATTTTTCAAAGGTGATTTAAAGTTCATTTTCCAACTTTTTCGGGTATTAAATTGGAAAAAACCTCATAATTTTATTTCAGATTGACTTCAAATTTGCCTCATTTAATGAAAATATTCTAGTTAATAAATCCTGAAAGTTTGAAATCGATCTGATACTTTCAAGTATTTTTCAGGATTTTTCAAATGTAATTTAACGTGAATTTTCCGACTTTTTCTGGTAATAATTTGGAAAAAATCTCATAATTTTATTTCTGAGCTTCAGATTAACTTCAAATTTGTCTCGTTTAATGAAAACATCTTGGAATTATTGTTTCAAAGCTCCTCCCCATCAGCTTTCTATTTGAAATTTTGATGGCATTTTAATTGTGCTTTACCAAAATATCAAGAAAATGTAAAAAACTATTATTCAACAGTTTAAAATGTATGACTGAAGCTTCAATTGTGAATTACAAAGGCCATGTAAAATAGTAAAAATTCAATAAAACCTAATTACACCCTTATTCTATCACGCAAGCCTGATTAATTTTCCTTAAAACTAGGGTTGAAATACATACATTACCGTCACACCTTTGCATTTTTTTTTTTTCAGTCAACTCAGAACCTTTTTGTGCTTTAATAGGTAAGTACTTAAGTAATACCCATAATTAATCAATTATAAATAAATCATGTAATTTAATATCCAAATGTAGGTCAATGAAACATTATTGTGTCTTATATAGAATCAACATCGATAAGTCAATATCAGTTTAAACCAACATGTTCTTTGAATTATACTGGCAATACTTTTTGAGTGGACTTTTACTTTGGGTGGCCGTTAAAATTGGTCTGAGCATTAAAAATAGACGAAACGCCGTTAAAACAAAAAATGGTAAATTTTTACAAATACCTATACAAAACTAATTGTACAACTATTGTAGTTTATGATTCAGAAGAAATTCCTGCATTGCCATTGGATCTAAAGCACATTCCTCTCGATTTTAGCAAACTCTCGACCGAAGAATCTCTAACAAGATCCGAAGAATTCTACAAATTGATGAACCAAAGACGCACAGTCAGGCATTTTAGCACCAAAACCGTACCCAAAGAGATAATATACAATTTAATTAAAACCGCTGGTACTGCACCGAGTGGTGCCCACACTGAACCATGGACTTACGTTGTCGTATCAAATCCGCACATGAAACATAAAATTAGGGAAATAATTGAAGAGGAAGAGGAGATTAATTATAAAAAACGCATGGGTAAAGTGTGGATTACCGATTTGAAACCTTTAAAAACTAATTGGGTTAAGGAGTACTTAACTGATGCGCCCTTTTTGATTTTGGTTTTCAAACAAATCTACAGTTTCACAGAAGATGGTACCAAAAAATTACATTATTATAACGAACAAAGTGTCGCAATGGCTTCTGGGATTTTATTATCAGCAATTCACGTATGTATATTAAGTTTCACTATTTTGCAAAAATTATTTTATTTTATTTTAGAACGCTGGTTTGGTTTCTTTAACATCGACTCCATTAAATTGTGGACCGGCCCTTAGAACTTTATTGGAGAGGCCTAGTTCTGAAAAACTTACCCTTTTGTTACCGGTTGGTTATCCTGCTGATGATTGTTTGGTACCCGATTTACATAGGAAGTGTCTGGAGGAAATTATGATTTGTTTCCTGTAAAAGTGAAAAAGACATAGGTACTTTTTTTAATGCCAGAGAGTCAAGATTTCCAATATTGAAATTCAATATTTTATTTTAAATTGTATTGTAAATATTGAAATTCGACAATTTTATAGCGGTTTGTCAGTTTTATTCAATTTATCTCATCCAATTATTGTTCAATTAAAAAAATAAAAATAGACTCATATTTTCATCCCTATAATTGCATTGAGCTAATCTATCAGCTTATAAGAAAACTTGCCACTCACATTAATTAATTAATATAGGGAACAAATATTAGAGGCATTTTTATAAAACGTTAGTACCTAAGTGTAGATATAGAGCTATACATCTGCTCAATAGAGAGGTAAATTGAATTAATAAATTCTTTTGTAATGCTTAAATAGAACCACTTTTACACTCAACAATAAGCGAATTTAGATTCAGAACTATTCGTTTTCAGGTCTTAAAATATTTTTAAGGAAATATAGATGAGATGTAGAAGTAACTGTATGAGTTTACCAATAAGAATAAATATTTACCTGTTCTATTGATAAGAAAAGTAAAAATTGAAAAATTTCAAAATAGATAAAACTTCTGCATATTATCAAAGTTATAAAATATTAGTTGATATTAATAATTGTCCAAAAATTCTTATCTGTTTATTTTTTAAATCAAAACCAGACATTTCATCGATAACCTTTCCCCATGAACTTTGGTTTGATTTTTCAATATTTTTTAGGTCTACATTTAAGTATCAACCATCATGCAGCTTTTAAGCTTAATCCTACTAGCAGCAATTATTATACCAACAAGTAAGCTTTATAATACAATAATTTAATAATTAATTAATAATTCATTTCAGGTCATGCAATAAAATGTTTCCAGTGTAATTCAGCAGAAACACCTGCTTGTGCAGATATTGAAGCTAATGATACCTCAAGTATATTTTTGCAAGAGTGCAATGGGGCTTATGAAGGCAAAGTGCCTTTTTGTCGTAAAATCGTAACCAAAGGTTAATATTTTAATAATTGCTACAATAAATAAATATTTGATTGTTTTAGTTATGGAAGGCGAAAACAAAAGGGTCACTAGGAAATGTAGCTGGATCTTGGATGAAAATAGAGCCAGAGAGGATTTTTGCAAAGAATCAGACAGCGATTTTGTTCTGAAGAAAAGCTGTGCCTGCTTCACAGATAGCTGCAACACTGGACATAACTATAGCCCTAATTTATTTATTTTAATTTTGTTAACAGTAATTTTTATTAGTTTAAGATGAGTGTTGGTGTTTAAATTATAAGAAACGGAAATGAAGTATTACGTTGTTAATTTTCATCAATAAAAAAGTTAGTTTGAAGCTTGAATTTCTAGCTAAAAATCAACTAAAGTTTGTCGTGTCCTTGTATCACATAACAATACACTACAAACAAATTCAAATTGGACCAAACCATTTAAACAAAAATTCAGCTCCTCAATGAGGCTTTTCCTTTTTAAAATTTGTAAACCTGCGCATTTGAGTTGGGTTGTCTCTCTGGCAGTCACAATTTGCCATCCGAATCAGTTTCTTGTGTCACTAAATAAGTATAAAAGTTAATTTTAAATTTCATTAGTGATTAATTAATTAAAACAATAATGCAATATTTGTTGGGATTAATTTGCTTGACGGCAATATGCATCGAGTCAGGTGAGTAGAAATTTCAAGTTCGCATTATAAGCTATTTTTGAATGGGTTCTAAAATTAAAAGTGCATAATTTATATTACGTTGCGGTTTTGCATACTTATTTTTTGATGTTTTATTATTTTAGTTTCATTATTGCGAACAAAGGGTTGATTTTTCCATGATAGGGCGCAAGCTCCTTTGAGGAATCAATAATTTTGGGCCCTTTTCTGATGATTCAATAGTGCCATTTTCGTGCAAAACGCAAGTTTATTTTTAGATTTCATATTGCATTTGGAAAATGTATAGTTTTGGTTTAGTGATGTATGAATAATATTGTCACATTTTTGGATAAACCTCATTTTGGAGGCTCGATAATTCTAATTCGGTGGAAGCCATTAATACAAAATTTTGCTTGGTTTATAGAGAATTTGATGCTCTTTCAAGCAATATATAGTTTATACAAATTTGCTCAAAAATTGTTTTTGTCAGAAATATCTGTACCTACTGAATTTTAGCTTGTTGAAGCTCAATTTAGTACAGGTTTATAGAGAATTTAATGCTCTTTCCATTGATACATAATTTATTTAAATTTGCTCAAAGTTCAACAAAGATATGGGCAATTGCACATGGCCATATTAAGATTTTGAAAATTTTCCAGACCCAAAACTAAGATTTTCTTGTTAATTTTTTTGATCCTAAAAAGGCTATTTGAAAATAATGTCAGAGTGGTTTTCCACTAATTTTGACCCGCTCTATCGATTGGTAAAGTTAAAATTGAGAAAAACTAAAAAATTAAAAAATTGAGTTTTTCATAAGAGTATAACCCTTCGAATTCTGTTTCTAAAATCTTCAAACGTCAATTTCCTATTAACCGTTAAGCAAATTGAGTTAAAATTTTCAGCATTTATAGCTCTCATTTAGCTCTAAAAAACCTGTAATTTACAATATCTTCAGGTTTACAGTTTTTGAGAAAATTAACATTGAAATTTAAGACAAAATCAGGACTAAAAATTAACTTTGAGGCTCCATTGCTCAGAAACTATTTGCACTAGCAAACTCCATTTAGTACAGATTTATAGAGAATTTACTACTCTTTCCGATGATATATAATTTATTTAATTTTCCTTAAAGTTTAACAAAGATATGGGCAATTGCACATGGCCATATCAAGATTTTGAAAATTTTCCAGACCCAAAACTAAGATTTTCTTGTTAATTTTTTTGATCCTAAAAAGGCTATTTGAAAATAATGTCAGAGTGGCTTTCCACTTATTTTGACCCGCTCTATTGATTGGTAAAGTCAAAATTGAGAAAAACTAAAAAAATTGAGTTTTTCATAAGGGTATATAGACCCCTTCGAATTCTGTTTCTAAAATCTTCAAACCTCAATTTCCTATTAACCTTTAAGCAAATTGAGTTAAAATTTTCAGCATTCATAGCTCTCATTTAGCTCTGAAAAAACTGTAATTCACAATATTCCTAGGTTTACAGTTTTTGAGAAAATTGAATTTGAAGTTTTTGACAAAATTTGGACTAAACGTTTAACTTTGAGACTCAATTGCTCAGAAACTATTGGCACCACTGGCGTAACTAGCCATCTGACCTGGGGGGGGCCTAGGGTGGGCCTGGCAGAGGCGCCGATTTTTGAAAGTCCTCATAGGTGCAGAATAATATTTTTATAAATTTGTCTATAGGGGGAGGGGGAAGCTCGCCGTAGGCGAAAATTTTTTTCCGGATGCCACGCCTAAACGCATATATTTTCTAGTGTATATTCTATTTTTTTCTACGAGCGTACGAAATAGTTATTTTCCTAACAAGTGCGCAAAGTGATACTTTCTCGCACGAAAAAGCAGTTAGACGGATAAGCTTTGAGTGCGGGAAAGACACTTTGCGCAAGTGTTAGGAACAATATTTTTTCTTCGAGTATCTTAAAAAAGTAGACTTTGAATTAATTGTTAAAATATTAGAAAAATCAATCAAATCAAAATCGTCAAAAATCCTTTAAAATCTATTGGAATTCCTCAGAATGTCTTTTAAATTAAATCCCCAAATTTTTTTTTACATCTTCTGGAATTTCTAGAATCAGCAAGAATATTTTCATGAGAGTCTCTTGAATATCAAAAATTTTTCAAATTCCTAGCAGTACAGGCTAGTCCAATTTGGACACCTTTGATAGGAAATATCATGTTAACTAAGCATTAATTTCAACTAAAACCCTTCATTTTGAATATTAGTTTATTCAGAAACCATCAAAACATTGAAAAATCAAGTATATATGGTAATTATACGTAACAAAAATGAGTGCGCAAAGAGTTTCCGTGCGCAAAGTTAAACTTTGCGCACGCAAATGAGTGTGCAAAGTGATGACTTTGCGCACGCAAGTAGAAAAAGTGCTTTTTTCTGCACGCATTTTAGGCCATGAAAATATCAATTTCTAAAATAATTATGCTATGTAAGGTGACCCTGGTACTTTTATGTCCTAAAATACCTCATGTTCCGATTATTATCAAAGAATAGAGATGGAGAATAGCAACATTAGCAATATAAAAGCTATTTTCGAGTTCGAAAAAAGAACGGTTCAAAACAATCACACAGTTCATCAATCAACAAAATGACAACGGCTCAGCTATCACAAATTTCAATAATAAACTGTGCGATTGTTTTGAACCGTTCTAGAACCGTCCTTTTTTCGAACCCGAAAATAGCTAAAGTAATAGAGCATAGAATTGGCCACAAATAACGGAAGGAGAGGATACTATACCTCCCTAATCTAAGACTAATACCACTTGTATATTTCTTATACATAGTTGTGTAAATATAAATTACATGATACTGATACTACCACACGGAATGGAATGATCATTAAATACGTTTGTACTTCCATATTCCCCACGAGAGCTCCGAGCACTCATGAGAGGTTGCTCATGGTGGCCTGGGGCCTGTTATTGTGACTTATTGGAATCTTTAAAAAAGTGGAACAATGCATTATAGACAATTAGCTGGCTAAATCACTTACTTAGCTAACCCAGCTTATCAGCCACTGTATAGTATAATAGGTCTGTTTCTGCAGAAATCACAAACCAGTCAAATCGAATTTCATTGGTTGAAAACAGTCAGAAACAGTCAGAAAACTAGTTTCAACCAATGAAATTCACTCTGACTAGCAGGGCCGATCCTAGGGTGCAAAGAACAATTGCGCCGCCCCATAGAGTATAGCACCCTTACGTAGGTGCCGGTGGTGGTAGCCCGCCGCAGGCGCCGGCGGAGGAAGATTTTTTTTTTAGGTGCCAGGTACCACGCCCAAAAGCGTTCATTTCGAGCCTCAAAATAAACGTTTTTGGGCGTTTAGGCCCAGTTGTACAATCTTGGTTCAAAACAGAGTTCAGCTGAACTCGACTGGTACTTGAACTTCCCCATTTGAAATGTATTGCTGTCAAAATTTAAAGAATTTGATTAATGGCTGACAGCAATGTATTTTAAATGGGAAAGTTCAAGTACCAGGCAAGTTCAGTTGAACTTTGTTTTGAACCGAGATTGTACAACTGGACCTTAGAGTTAAAAAAAACTTGTTTGGAACAACATATCAACATATTTGTTTTCTATGAGTTGTTTGAATGCGGGTGAGTAGTCATCAATAATGATAAACAGTATCCTAAATTAAGTAGGGCCTGGTTGGGCCTAGGTACGAAAGTGAAAAATAGGGCCCTGTGGAAAATCAAGACACCCCAGTCCCTAGTCGTAATACTTACCTACATAACATACCCGCCTGCACTTGGTAGTCTTTGGTATAGTTTTTCCAAAGTTAATTGGAACAAGGTAACAAGTGACAGTGGATTTCTTATGGAAATTTTCAGTGACTAGTCGGCCACCAGTTGGTACCTTGTTCCAATTGAGTTAGGACATACTATACCAAAAAAGTTGGTAATATTGTTAGCGGGAGTATTCATCTAGTTCTGTTGGACGGGCAGTAATTATTCTCTCAGAATTAGGTGAAGCAAAAATGAACATTTTGAAAAAACAAAGCAGAAGTATTTAGGACATATAAAAAATTATGCGATCTTATGATGGAAACATTATGCGTGAACCTACACATTGACTGTGCACTAAAGTTTCTATTTATGCTATCAGGAAATCGGGGTTCATTTTCATTTTTCAGGAGTTTTTTAAAGTTCAGCTTATTTCTTTATTAGAAGTAGTTTTATTTTGAGAAATTCGTGAAAAGTTTTACTTGAATCTTGAATGACAGAATCATAGGCGGCCTGCGGCCGCCCCTAGATTTGGCCGCCCGCGTGCGGCGCACGCGCTGCACACCTACTAGGATCGGCCTTGCTGACTAGTTTGTGATTTCTGCAGAAACAGACCTAATATCAGCAGCACCGATTCACGGATTCACAGGAAAAATATTTAATCAAACTCCCAAACTAATCTGTCATATTGCTAATCAGTGCTGTCGAAACTACCGAAATTTCGGTATTTCTACCGAAATGGCAACGGACCTACCGAAAAACCGAATACTGATGAAATTTTTACCGATTTTCAACAATAATAATTACGATTCTACCGATTTTTTTACCGTTTTTCACCAAAAAATTAGTTTTATCGTTTTCATTTTTCCGATTTTTCTATCGATAGCCGAACCCGATATACTATCGAATTTTTGGTCGGTGTGAGAACTGTCAGATGTCAAATAGATCCTCCGGCGACTTTGTTAGCAATGGTTGGGTTAGTATAATATCATATAGCTGGTATAATATGCATTTCTTTCGGGGAATACCCGTGTTTCCTGTGATATCCGAATTTGTTTTTAATATTTTGTCATTGCCCCACAGTGTTGCCAGGTCTACTGATTTATCAGTAGATCTACTGATTTGGCCATTGGTCTACTGATATACTGATGTCTATGTGAATTCTACTGATAAAAGCAGTTGTCATTATTTAACCGCTTTGTATGATATTTTTTAAATTATAATAATGTATGAGAATGTCACAGCAATAATTTCATACTTGAGCTGTGGGCTAGGACTTAGGAGTGTACTCTAAATGACGCCCGATTACTCCGATCAGTCCGGTGTGGTGTGTGGTGTGTATTGGAACATTCAAACACTCGCAGTGTAGGCGCAGCACTCAATCTAACTGGGTCCATATTCTTGGAACAGGGATCAGCGTTCCCAGGAGGACGAGTGTTCCGTCTTCGTTACTCATATTATCAGATGCATATCATTGAGAAAGACGAAACACTCGTTCTTCTATGGGAACGCTGATCCTTGTTCCAAGAATAAGGACCCTGGGGAATGGGGAATCCCCGGCGTTCGCGCCTGCTTGTGTTGTGTCTTGGTTACTTGCCTTTTGTCTTGCCAGTTGCGTAAAGGCATGTGTTGTTGTTGGTTAGTCAATTGCTCACATAGCGGTAAATATGCTGTACAATTAACTGCAGCCTATTTCACCTGTTTTTATCAGAGACTAGACTAGATACTACATAGGTAGTGCATTCTTTGGAAGTGTATCTTAAATGGGAATATTTCACGTCTCTTGATAAACTATTTCCCATAAGTAGTATTGGTGTTTGATTTTCCAATGCAAGTTTTCATAGTCTAATGCGCAATCTAAAGATTAACAGCTGTATGCAACATCCTCTTTTAACTTAAAAGCGCTTTTTGAAACTGGTACCTTTAAAAATTTGTATGGATTAGAATACACATTTTTAAAAGTGACCAGTTCTAAAAAGCTCTTTTAAGTTAAAAGAGGATGTTGCATACAGCTGTTAATGATTTGGAAAAATGTAACTAAAATAATTAATTGAGTATACCCTAATGGTTTACCCCTTTAACTAGGCAACTTATCTGTCTACTGATTTCTAGTGATATTTAGACTGGTACTCTACTGAAAAAACGAAATATGACCTGGCAACACTGTTGCCCCATTCTTCCGCCAATGCCCAATGTCGAGCGCACATTCTCAGCAATAAATCATCGAATGAAAACAGCACAAAGAAATAGACTTTCCACGGAAACACGAAACACCAGTGATTGTTTTTTTAGCTTTTACAGACTCAACGACATTTTGGGCAAATAAAGAACCGATAATAGTCCAAATTTGACTATTGATTTGTTAAAATATTTCCCTTGGTCTCATGTATAAAAAATCCCAAAAGAGGAATGCAATTATTGAAAACTTACAGCTGTAAGGTACCGATAATTTTGCCCGCAGGTCTAATTTCGGAAAATATTCCCCTAGCATTCATGCGTCAGGGCGAGTTCTCATGAGCGTAAGTTGACATTTCTGGCGTAATCACATGATAAAATAGTTGGATTTTATTGGTAAAATATTCGCCATGCTGGAGATTTTACCAATCAAATTACACCATATTATCACGTGATTACTCCAGAAATGTCAACTTACGCTCATGAGAACTCGCCCTCAAAATTACCAGATACCTTTGCGTTCAAGCGTGTTCAAAAAAACCCTCCACCTGTGGTGTCGGGCTCTTTCGCAGAAAATATGAAAATCAACACATGCAGTTTTTAGAAAACACTAAAACACGCTTTCGCTTTCATCCAAAATTATCGGTAATTTTGATTCACTTGTGATAATTTTTCAATGCCCTAGCTGACGTTACATACGTAACCTCGCTTTCGACGGGGGGACAAAAAAATCTTTTAAGGACTATTTACATAAATACGCAAATAAATGTAAATATCGTTTGTTTTTCCCATTGACATGTTTGTCCCCCTATCGAAAGTGACGTTATGTGATTTGTGACATAATAGCTAGCATCTAATTGATGCTTAGAGAATTGATGTGAGTATATAGTTCTTAAACGCTTCTTTTGTTCCTCCATCGAAAGTTAGGTTATGTGTGTAACGTCAGCTAGTGCCTGATGATTTTCCAATTTATAATGTAATATTTATTAAATCATGCAAAACACGGCAACGCTGGATTTTAGTCTATCTTATAAAATGTGTTTTTTTTTTAAAGATAAAAGTTAAAGTGACATTATGTTGGCAATACAATGTAAAATTGTCAATGCTTTCAAATTTTTATGTAGAAAAGGCTGTGTTGCCAACATAGTTACTAAATCTTTGACTTGGGGAATTATCTCTAAAAAAAAAACAGGCTTTACCCACCGATTTTGCGCATAGTAATCTACCGATTTTCAACGCCAGTTTCTCCCGATTTAGTATTTTGACGTTCGACAACACTGTTGCTAATGCTAATTTAATGGCTTTGGTATACTGTATCACTTCTGCACATTGCAATTTGCACTCACCTTGGGGTGGCACAATGGCACAGCACTGTTCGTTAGTGGATTGGAGGATCATATAGGGTCGATCGGGATCGCCGCGCATCACCGTTCAAATTTAGTAGGTAATAACATGAAATTATATATAGCTTTCATAAAATACTAAATTATTAAATTTTTTTCTGAGGGGGGCCTAGCGACGTCTGGGAGGGGGCCGGCCCCCCTAGGCCCCCTGTAGTTACACCACTGATTGGCACTAACAAACCCCATTTAGTACAGATTTTTAGAGAATTTAAAGCTCTTTCCGATGATACATAATTTACTTAAATTTCCTTAAAGTTTAACAAAGATATGGGCAATTGCACATGGCCATATCAAGATTTTGAAAATTTTCCAGACCCAAAACTAAGATTTTCTTGTAAATTTTTCTGCATCTTAAAAAGGCCATTTGAAAATAATGTCAGAGTGGTTTTCTACTAATTTTGACCCGCTCTATCGTTTGGTAAAGTCAAAATTGAGAAAAACTAGAAAATTAAAAAATTGAGTTTTTCATAAGGGTATAACCCTTGGAATTCTTATTCCAAAATCTTCAAGCCTCAATTTCCTATTAACCGTTAGGCAAATTGAGTTAAAATTTTCAGCATTTATAGCTCTCATTTAGCTCTAAAAAACCTGTAATTTACAATATCCTCAGGTTTACAGTTTTTGAGAAAATTAACATTGAAATTTAAGACAAAATTTGGACTAAAAATTAACTTTGAGGCTCGATTGCTCAGAAACTATTTGCACTAGCAAACTCCATTTAGTACAGATTTATAGAGAATTTACTACTCTTTCCGATGATACATAATTTATTTAAATTTCCTTGAAGTTTAACAAAGATATGGGCAATTGCACATGGCCATATCAAGATTTTGAAAATTTTCCAGACCCAAAACTAAGATTTTCTTGTAAATTTTTTTGCATCTTAAAAAGGCCATTTGAAAATAATGTCAGAGTGGTTTTCTACTAATTTTGACCCGCTCTATCGATTGGTAAAGTCAAAATTGAGAAAAACTAAAAAATTAAAAAATCGACTTTTTATAAGGGGTACCCCTTTGAATTTTAATTCCAAAATCTTCAAACCTCAATCTCTCATAAACCGTTGGGCAAATTGAGTTGAAATTTTAAGCATTTGTAGCTCTTATTAAACTCTAAAAAACCTGTAATTTACAATATTCCCAGGTTTACAGTTTTTAGGAAAATTGACATTGAAGTTTTTGACAAAATTTGGACTAAAAGATAACTTTGAGACTCAATTACTCAGAAACTATTCGCACTAACAAACTCTATTTAGTACAGATTTATAGAGAATTTAATGCTCTTTCCGATGATATATAAGTTATACAAATTTTTTCAAAGTTTAACAAAGATATGGGCAATTGCACAATCAACAATTTCCAACTTGTTTTGTATCATGAGAAAACTTCATTCAAAAAATCCTGAAAGTTTCAAGTTGCTGGGATTTCTCAAAGTATTTTTTCAGGAGCCTTCAAAGGTGTTTTACAGGAATTTTATGATTTTTCAGGTATTGATGAGTAAAAAAAATCGTAGCTTTAGCTGTGAGTTTTATATCAACTTCCAACTTGTTTCGTATCATGGAAAAACTTTATCTAATAAATCCTGAAAGTTTTAAGTAGCTCAGATAGCTGAAAGTATTTTTCAGGAATCTTCAAAGATGATTTTCCCAGATAACGTAAATCTTCAATCATCTTTTTTTGTAGTTTCGATTGTTGCCACTCCTAAATCTTGTTCAGGTGCGGCGATCAAATTGTGAATTTCTTCAACTACTAGGTACTAAAGCACTTTGCTCTTGTGGAGTCGGTTTTTGTAGATCTATAGTTTGTAGGGCAATTTAGAGATGTTCAATGTCTGTTGTGATGAATTTCTCAAGTTCTTTGACTGTAGCGCGTTTTTCTTCAAATAGAGGTTGCTGTTTGATTAAGGCAATTGCTAGTTTAAGAGATTTGAGTGGAGTGAGGACTAATCCGTCTTGTTTTGGGTCAGATTTTTGACTTCCTGGAATTTGAGCTTGGTCTGAAGGTTTCTACAGCATGTCTGAAATTATTTGAGATAGTTTTGTAGCTAGAATTTCTTCGATTTTTTGAGATGTCTCAGCTTTTTCATTGTCCTTGGTAGCAGCTTCGACTTTCTTAATTTCTATAATATTATATTCTTCATCTGGGTTTTGCTTCAAGTTTTACAGTTTCTACATCCCTAATTTCCTCAAATCTCTGAGCGTCGTTGGTAGAACTTGTCGCTTGAATTGTATTTGATTATTCTTCCTTATTGTCTTAGCATGATCTGGATCTTTATAGTTTCCGGAATTTTTCCTCCGGCACCAGCTCCTTTGACAATTTTTTGTCTGTTTCGATTTTAATTTGTTCTCCAAAAACTCATAATAAAACAAATCCTGAAAGCTTCAAGTGGCTCAAAGTATTTTTCATGAACCTTCAAAGGTGATTTTACAGGAATATGAGCAGTTGCTAGTTGTAACTGATAAGATTTTGAAAAAGTAAAGTTTAAATTTGCTTTTAGGTTTGGCAATTTCTTGTTACGAGTGCAACAGCGCACTGGACAAACGTTGCATAGGCGACGCCAACAACCAACTCAGCGACGATCTGAGAAAACCCTGTCCGGAAAAGAAAGACGACAAACCCTACACCCTTTGCAGGAAAATCAAGCAAATGATCGACTTTGAAGTAAATGGACGTAAGTACTTTCTTAAAATTCAATCATGAAGGAATCTAATTTTCAATTTCCAGTTCAACCTGATAGTAGAGTGATTAGAACTTGTGGCTGGGAAGATTCTCAGTACAAAAATCGTTGTTATCAGAGATCAGGATTCGGTGGCAGACAAGAAGTGTGCGCTTGTGATGGCAACAATTGTAATGGAAGCTCGTTTGTAGCTGCCTCGATGTCACTTGTAGCTGGGGTTTTGGTGCTTTTAAAAATTCACAATTTTTAAGCAATAATAAATGACAATGAGTTGTTTTTTCTTACCTCAAACTTTGATGTTGTAATTTGTATTATAAGTCGTTGAAACTTTCTAGGAGTTAGTTTGAGTTTAAAGAGTCATTGTAGGGTAGGATGTCAAAAAAAATTTATTGTAAAAGTAGTAAGTCAATTTTATTTAATAACAAAAAGTAGTTGCTTGTTATGTTTTGGTAATAAGTAGGTACTAAATTTAATAAACTTACAGATGCAATTATATTATTGAAAAATATCAATAGGGTGGTACTATGCTTTTAACAATAATTTATAGTTTATTACACTGCCTGAAACAATAAAAATTAATAATTCATGTTACAAAATTATTGTGATTTATTGTACCTATTGTTATAGTTGAAATAAATAAATTGATGCTTTTAATATACCATTTTAAATCTATCAGTCCTTCACTTTTCTGCAAAGCCTGTTAGTTCGGTTGAGTACTGTACCACTCACTTATGAGATTTTTAAGGTTTTTCAATTATTCATCGTACCTGCAGACCTGCTTCGTCCATTCCCCAACAAAATAAAACAAAATACTTCAAATAATCAGAAAAAAAAAGTTGATTTATTTCATTATTCAATTCAACGCTAGGGCCGATAAAATGGTTAACAACAAATTGTTTATACTAAAAACCAAAAAAGCCCAATACTAACATCAACGAAAAAATTCAACAAGGCACTGCTGTCCATATTCTTTTACATTTTGGTCTTAAATTTATCTAAATCTCTCTCATTCAATTACGTATTAAAATAAATAATTCCCAATAATCATTAGAGGCTTTTAACAACTAAAAATCTGTTGGTATAAAATTAGCTAAACTAAAAAGTACAATATTTTAGAGGAATTCCCTAAATAACAATAGCTCTGTTCCAACTGACATGAGAACCAGTAATTTCCAGTTGCCCACCTATTTTTCAATAAGTTATTTGACAAATGATTTGTTCCAATGTCGGTTGGAACAGACCTAATAATTAATTTAAACTATTAAAAATAATTACCTGAGAGTGCGCAAAACTTTTACAAACTTATACAATTATTAAAAAGTGACTTCAAAAGAAACAAACAATTTTTTTTTTGTTTAGACGGATGCACGCTTATTTAAATGAGCAACAATTCAAAAAATAAAAATGAGATCACACAACAAGAAACAGTGGCGCAGCCAGACATTATATCAGAAAAAATTGAAGGAATGTATGTACACAGACTCACTATCCTTTGAATGGTGTGTAAACCACAAATCAAAATTTCTAAGAATAATATTTCATTTTATGCCTTAAGGGTTTTCGAGATATTTGCAAAACAACCATGGAAGCGTGACGTCACAACCGCTCGGAAATTGTAAACTCAGATCCTGCAACTATAACTTAAATACAGGTTGACTCAAATAGGTGAAACATGGCTTTTGGTTTTGAACCAAAGTAGGTACAGATTGTCACGTCTACGTTTTGTTGCAAACTCTAAAGAATGATATTTTTTGATAGAAATCCAGTATTGTTCTTGGATTTTCTTCACATAATACAAATCAAAAACGTATTTTTAATACAAGAAGTTTACAACTTTTGTCTACTTAATTATTTTTCTATTTTTCTCTGGCCCCCCTTTGGCTGCGCCCCTGACAAGAAATGATTACAAATTTCCAAATAAATTAATACTGTTTTCTACAAAAAATAAAATAAAATACAAACGATTGCAACCGCCCTATTGATTATTAATTTTCTTATACTTTTAACAATTAATTGTTACAAAGAAATAATTATTTACATTAAAATAACTATACAATTTTTTTTTGGTAATAATAATAGGGTATAATGATGTATATATAATAATATATAAACTCTTTTTTTTTTATCTTTCTCTGTTTCATGTAGGAAGTGCACTTTTGTTTCATTTTCATGTGTGTAAAAATAAATTAAGGTACAAAGGAAAATTTTCATAAGAGAAGAAATCTTTTGTATACGAAAATTGTCCCTGGTACAAATATTGTTTTGTTATTTTTATGATATCACATTTTTCTTTTCAGTTTTAACTTGGTTATCAGACAATTTACACTGTAGTTAGTTGGCAGATAAAATTATTAAATATTGCAAAATTGTTGTATGGTATGTTATTGTCAGAAATATCTGTACTGAATTTTAGCTTGTTAAAGCTCAATTTAGTACAGGTTTATAGGGAATTTAATGCTCTTGCCGATGATACATAATTAATTTCAATTTGCTCAAAGTTTTTAACAAAGATATAGGCAATTGCACACAGCCATGTCAGGATTTTTTATTTTGAATTTTAATTTCAGAATCTTCAAACCTCAATTTTTTATTAACCATTTGGCAAATTGAGTTAAAATTTTTAGCATTTGAAACTCTCATTAAGCTCTGAAAAACCTGTAATTTACAATATTTCCAGATCTATAGTTTTTGAGCAAATGGAGTTTGAAGTTTTTGACAAAATTTGGACTAAAAGTTAACTTTGAGGCTCAATTGCTCAGAAACTATTTGCACTAGCAAACTCCATTTAGTACAGATTTATAGAGAATTTAATGCTCTTTCCAATGATATATAATTTATCTCAATTTGCTCAAAGTTTAACAAAGATATGAGGAATTGCTCATGGCCATGTCAAGATTTTGAAAATTTCTCAGAGCCAAAACTAAGATTTTCTTGTTAATTTTTTTGCGTTTTAAAAAGGCCATTTGAAAATGATGTCAGAGTTGTTTTCCACTAATTTTGACCCGCTCTATCGATTGGAAAAGTCAAAATTGAGCAAAACTGAAAAATTAAAAAAAAGGGTAACCCCTTTGAATTTTAATTCGAAAATCTTCAAACCTCAATTTCCCATTAACCGTTGGACAAATTGAGTTAAAATTTCCAGCATTTGTAGCTCTTATTAAGCTCTAAAAAACCTGTAATTTACAATGTTCCCAGGTTTACAGTTTTTGAGAAAATTGAATTTGAAGTTTTTGACAAAATGTAGACTAAAAGTTAAATTTAAGGCTCAATTGCTCAGAAACTATTTGCCCTATAAAACTCAATTTAGTACAGATTTATAGAGAATTTAATGCTCTTTCCAATGATATATAATTTATTTTGATTTGCTCAAAGTTCAACAAAGATATGGGCAATTGCACATAGCCATATCAAAATGTTGAAAATTTTCCAGACGGAAAACTAAGATTTTCTTTTAAATTTTTTTGCGTTTTAAAAAGGCCATTTGAAAATGATGTCAGAGTTGTTTTCCACTAATTTTGACCCGCTCTATCGATTGGAAAAGTCAAAATTGAGCAAAACTGAAAAATTAAAAAATCAAGTTTTTATAAGGGTAACCCCTTTGAATTTTAATTCGAAAATCTTCAAACCTCAATTTCCCATTAACCGTTGGACAAATTAAGTTAAAATTTCCAGCATTTGTAGCTCTTATTAAGCTCTAAAAAACCTGTAATTTACAATGTTCCCAGGTTTACAGTTTTTGAGAAAATTGAATTTGAAGTTTTTGACAAAATGTAGACTAAAAGTTAACTTTAAGGCTCAATTGCTCAGAAACTATTTGCCCTATAAAACTCAATTTAGTACAGATTTATAGAGAATTTAATGCTCTTTTCAATGATATATAATTTATTTTGATTTGCTCAAAGTTCAACAAAGATATGGGCAATTGCACATAGCCATGTCAAAATGTTGAAAATTTTCCAGACCGAAAACTAAGATTTTCTTTTAAATTTTTTTGCGTTTTAAAAAGGCCATTTGAAAATGATGTCAAAGTTGTTTTCCACTATTTTTGACCCGCTCTATCGATTGGTAAAGTCAAAATTGAGCAAAATTGAAAAATTAAAAAATCGAGTTTTTATAAGGGGTAACCCCTTTGAATTTTAATTCCAAAATCTTCAAACCTCAATTTCGCATTAACCGTTGGGCAAATTGAGTAAAAATTTTCAGCATTTGTAGCTCTAGTTAAGCTCTAAAAAACCTGTAATTTACAATATTCCCAGGTTTACAGTTTTTGAGAAAATTGATTTTGAAGTTTTTGACAAAATTTAGACTAAAAGTTAACTTTAAGGCTCAATTGCTCAGAAACTATTTGCCCTATCAAACTCAATTTAGTACAGATTTATAGAGAATTTAATGCTCTTTCCAATGATATATAATTTATTTTGATTTGCTCAAAGTTCAACAAAGATATGGGCAATTGCAAATAGCCATGTCAAAATGTTGAAAATTTTCCAGACCGAAAACTAAGATTTTCTTTTAAATTTTTTTGCGTTTTAAAAAGGCCATTTGAAAATGATGTCAAAGTTGTTTTCCACTATTTTTGACCCGCTCTATCGATTGGTAAAGTCAAAATTGAGCAAAATTGAAAAATTAAAAAATCGAGTTTTTATAAGGGGTAACCCCTTTGAATTTTAATTCCAAAATCTTCAAACCTCAATTTCGCATTAACCGTTGGGCAAATTGAGTAAAAATTTTCAGCATTTGTAGCTCTAGTTAAGCTCTAAAAAACCTGTAATTTACAATATTCCCAGGTTTACAGTTTTTGAGAAAATTGATTTTGAAGTTTTTGACAAAATTTAGACTAAAAGTTAACTTTAAGGCTCAATTGCTCAGAAACTATTTGCCCTATCAAACTCAATTTAGTACAGATTTATAGAGAATTTAATGCTCTTTCCAATGATATATAATTTATTTTGATTTGCTCAAAGTTCAACAAAGATATGGGCAATTGCACATAGCCATGTCAAAATGTTGAAAATTTTCCAGACCGAAAACTAAGATTTTCTTTTAAATTTTTTTGCGTTTTAAAAAGGCCATTTGAAAATGATGTCAAAGTTGTTTTCCACTATTTTTGACCCGCTCTATCGATTGGTAAAGTCAAAATTGAGCAAAATTGAAAAATTAAAAAATCGAGTTTTTATAAGGGGTAACCCCTTTGAATTTTAATTCCAAAATCTTCAAACCTGAATTTCCCATTAACCGTTGGGCAAATTGAGTTAAAATTTTCAGCATTTGTAGCTCTTGTTAAGCTCTAAAAAACCTGTAATTTACAATATTCCCAGGTTTACAGTTTTTGAGAAAATTGATTTTGAAGTTTTTGACAAAATTTAGACTAAAAGTTAACTTTAAGGCTCAATTGCTCAGAAACTATTTGCCCTATAAAACTCAATTTAGTACAGATTTATAGAGAATTTAATGCTCTTTCCAATGATATATAATTTATCTCAATTTGCTCAAAGTTCAACAAAGATATGGGCAATTGCACATAGCCATGTCAAAATGTTGAAAATTTTCCAGACCGAAAACTAAGATTTTCTTTTAAATTTTTTTGCGTTTTAAAAAGGCCATTTGAAAATGATGTCAAAGTTGTTTTCCACTATTTTTGACCCGCTCTATCGATTGGTAAAGTCAAAATTGAGCAAAATTGAAAAATTAAAAAATCGAGTTTTTATAAGGGGTACGTACCCCTTTGAATTTTAATTCCAAAATCTTCAAACCTCAATTTCCCATTAACCGTTGGACAAATTGAGTTAAAATTTCCAGCATTTGTAGCTCTTCTTATGCTCTAAATAACCTGTAATTTACAATATTCCTAGGTTTACAGTTTTTTAGAAAATTGATATTGAAGTTTTTGACAAAATTTGGACTAAAAGTGAATTTTGAGGCTCGATTGCTCAGAAACTATTTGCCTTACAAAACTCAATTCAGTACAGATTTATAGAGAATTTAATGCTCTTTCCAATGATATATAATTTATTTTGATTTGCTCAAATTTCAACAAAGATATGGGCAATTGCACATAGCCATGTCAAAATGTTGAAAATTTTCCAGACCCAAAAATACGATTTTCTTGTTAATTTTTTTGCATCTTATTTGAAAATAATGTCAGAGTGATTTTCCACTAATTTTAACTCGCTCTATCGATTGGTAAAATCAAAATTGAGCAAAATTGAAAAATTAAAAAATCGAGTTTTTATAAGGTGGCAAAGTTGTTAAAGTACTTGTAAGCAACCTATAAGAGGTGGGTTTTATGAAGAAAAATTATAGAAAACCAAACAGAATGACGTATTTCCTGCAGAGAAAGTCCTACAACAGAAACGGAGTACAATTTTTGTAAAATGGATGGGGTTGGATAAGTTCCATAACAGTTGGATCAAGAAAATCAACGATGTGGTTCAAATTAGGAATTATTGAAATTTTTAAATCAATAAAAATCATGGGACTGTACTGAAATCAAAATTTGGAACAATCTCACAATTAAATTTATCTACAGTGTATGTCATGTTGTATGTCATATTGTCAGAAATATCTGTATGTGACCTTAATTCCGAAAGGTCTTTTACTACATTTCACCCTTTAAAACTTTGAATTTTATCTGATATCTTTCACATTTCAGGTAAATTGTCTGATAACTTAACATGAGTTAATTGGTTGTGGGTAAATTGAATTACAATGAAGATGTCAATCAACCCTACATCCTTTACATATTTGATTTAGACAGCTAAAAAGAGGCATTTTTTCTCAACAATAAATAAATTAGCGAGCCCCTTTCTTTTTATGTAAGGGAACAACTTTTTTCCTTATTTTAGTAGGAGTACTGCACAGATCAGTATCGTCGACGAGTTTCCTTTTTCTGGTTCTGTTAGGTAGAGAGACAAAAACGTCGGTATCGCAGTCGATTTCCAGTCTTTTACGCAAAATCCTTTCGCTTTGGCGAGTTTTTTCGTAAACTTTGCGCTCCCGTCTCCGAGTTTTTGAATCTATTGACACCACAATGCCACTTGAACCAGTAGATTCTCTTACATCTACCCTAGACTCACATGTTGTTGCAGGCTTAGAAGAGCTTTCACTAGTAAACGAACTAGTGCTTGTATTATCACTAGAACTTTTCTTTTTGCGTCTCCTTTGGGCTAATTTGGCACTCAAAACATCTTGCAACCGAAACCCTTCTCGCTCAGCTTGATGAAAAGCATTAAATGTAGTTTGCAAAGTCTTTTCAGCACTGGAGCCTAATATATCAGGCGTCATTAAAATATTCTGAGGCAAATTCTGATGTCCTTGCACCCAACTATTGTTTTGCAAATCACTCATTCGCAATCGTTGACTTGGGGTTACAGTCAAAAGCCCTTCAACAACATTTTTGGCATCAAGCGAAACCTCTTCCCAAGCAGGAGAGTCAAAATTAAAATCTCCACACTTAATCCTTTCCATTATAGACCCAACACTTTCATCTCTAGACCTGGCATGGAAAGGTGCCTTTCCACACAACATCGTATACAAAATTACTCCTAAACTCCACAAATCGCAATTCTCGTCATAACCTTCTGGATCACCTTTGAGCACTTCTGGAGCAGCATAATGCAAAGTGAAACAGGGTGTATGCAAAGACTCTTTTTCACGTTTCAAGCGGGCAAATCCAAAATCAATAATTTTAATTTCGGCATCACCATCCTGGCAAGTAAAAACTAAGTTTTCAGGTTTCAAGTCTCTATGCACCACTCCTCGAGAGTGCATAAAACTAACTGCACTAACAAGTTTTTTCAGGATAGCAGAAGCCTCGCTTTCTAAGAATTTTGTCTTGTTGCGTATCCTATCAAACAGCTCGCCCCCTTTAAGACACTCCATTACCAAATAAGTATAGTGATCATCATGTAAACACTCATGCAAATTGACTATATTTGCATGTCCTTGGCAGGCTCTTAAAAGATTAATTTCCTGAGTACAATCTCGCACTTTGCCGATTATTTTAACTGCAAACTCTTTGCCTGAAGCCTTGTGCGTGCACCTGCGACAAATCGAAAAGGTACCATCACCCAAAGCTGGCTCGCTCAAGTCCATGTCGTATTGCTGAAAAAATGGAGAGTCATCCAGTTGGGATTTAAGCAAGTTTGCCTGTAAACCAGGACTTTTTTCAGAAATAGCGTTTCTGGAAAATACTATTGAAGGTGCTACATATGAGTACCCTTTGAACAGTTTGTCGTAGTTGGGTGGTACCACAGCAGGTGAATCGGTAGGCGGCATTGTTGTGAACTCTTCGCTGAAGTTGGATACATCTAGTTCGCTTTTGATTACTGGTACAAATGGAGCTGAGATTTCTTTGCGGGCAAGTTTGTCCCAGTCTAGAGTTTTGAAGAATGAGTGCCTTTTCAGTTCTTTGGCGTCGTCTTCGCCGCCTCCCAGACGTCTTCTCGGGTCTTTGACTAGGAGTTTTGTTATGAAATCTGCCACATCTTTTCCTATATCTGAAAAGAATAATCAATAATTAATATAATGCTGATGTGATTGATGATTTTTGGACTAAAAGCTAATTTTGAGGCTCGATTGCTCTATTAAACTACATTTAGTACAGATTTATAGAGAATTTAATGCTCTTTCCGATGATATATTATTTATTTTAATTTGCTCAAAGTTTAACAAAGATATGGGCAATTGCTTATGGCCATGTCAAGATTTTGAAAATTTTCCAGAGCCAAAACTAAGATTTTATTTGTAATTTTTTTGCGTTTTAAAAAGGCCATTTAAAGATGATGTGAGAGTCGTTTTCCACTAATTTTGCCGCTCTATATCGATTGGTGAAGTCAAAATTGAGCAAAACTGAAAAATTAAAAAATCGAGTTTTTATAAGGGTAACCCCTTTGAATTTTAATTCCAAAATCTTTAAATCTCAATTTCCCATTAACCGTTGGGCAAATTGAGTTAAAATTTTCAGCATTTGTAGCTCTTATTAAGCTCTAAAAAATCTGTAATTTACAGTATTCCCAGGTTTACAGTTTTTGAGAAAATTAATATTGAAGGTTTTGAAAAAAATTTGGACTCAAAGTTAATTTTGAGGCTCGATTGCTGAGAAACTATTTGCCCTATCAAACTCAATTTAGTACAGATTTATAGAGAATTTAATGCTCTTTCCGATGATATATAATTTATTTTAATTTGCTCAAAGTTTAACAGAGATATGTGCAATTGCTCATGGCCATGTCAAGATTTTGAAAATTTCTCGGAGCCAAAACTAAGATTTTCTTTTCAATTTTTTTGCGTTTTAAAAATGCCATTTGAAAATGATGTCAGACTGGTTTTCCACTAATTTTTACCCGCTCTATCGATTGGTGAAGTCAAAATTGAGCACAACTGAAAAATTGGAAAATCGAGTTTTTATAAGGGTATAACCCCTTTGAATTTTAATTCCAAAATCTTTAAACCTCAATTTCCCATTAACCGTTAGGCAAATTGAGTTAAAATTTTCAGCATTTGTAGCTCAAATTAAGCTCTAAAAAACCTGTAATTTACAGTATTCCCAGGTTTACAGTTTTTGAGAAAATTGATATTGAAGTTTTTGACAAAATTTGGACTAAAAGTTAATTTTGAGGCTCGATTGCTCAGAAACTATTTGCCCTATCAAACTCAATTTAGTACAGATTTATAGAGAATTTAATGCTCTTTCCGATGATATATAATTTATTTTAATTTGCTCAAAGTTTAACAGAGATATGGGCAATTGCTTATGGCCATGTCAAGATTTTGAAAATTTTCCAGAGCCAAAACTAAGATTTTCTTTTTAATTTTTTTGCGTGTTAAAAAGGCCATTTAAAAATGATGTCAGAGTTGTTTTCCACTAATTTTTACCCGCTCTATCGATTGCTAAAGTCAAAATTGCCTAAAACTGAAAAATTAAAAAATCGAGTTTTTATAAGGGGTACCCCTTTAAATTTTAATTCCAAAATCTCTAAACCTCAATTTCCCATTAACCGTTGGGCAAATTGAGTTAAAATTTTCAGCATTTGTAGCTCTTATTAAGCTCTAAAAAACCTGTAATTTACAGTATTTCCAGATTTACAGTTTTTGAGAAAATTGATATTGAAGGTTTTGAAAAAAATTTGGACTCAAAGTTAATTTTGAGGCTCGATTGCTCAGAAACTATTTGCCCTATTAAACTACATTTAGTACAGATTTATAGAGAATTTAATGCTCTTTCCGATGATATATAATTTATTTTAATTTGCTCAAAGTTTAACAGAGATATGTGCAATTGCTCATGGCCATGTCAAGATTTTGAAAATTTCTCGGAGCGAAAACTAAGATTTTCTTTTCAATTTTTTTGCGTTTTAAAAATGCCATTTGAAAATGATGTCAGACTGGTTTTCCACTAATTTTTACCCGCTCTATCTATGGCTGAAGTCAAAATTGAGCAAAACTGAAAAATTTAAAAATCGAGTTTTTATAAGGGTATAACCCCTTTGAATTTTAATTCCAAAATCTTTAAACCTCAATTTCCCATTAACCGTTAGGCAAATTGAGTTAAAATTTTCAGCATTTGTAGCTCTTATTAAGCTCTAAAAAACCTGTAATTTACAGTATTCCCAGGTTTACAGTTTTTGAGAAAATTGATATTGAAATTTTTGACAAAATTTGGACTAAAAATTAATTTTGAGGCTCGATTGCTCAGAAACTATTTGCCCTATCAAACTCAATTTAGTACAGATTTATAGAGAATTTAATGCTCTTTCCGATGATATATAATTTTTTTCAATTTGCTCAAAATTCAAAAAAGATATGGGCAATTGCACATGGCCATGTCAAGATTTCGAAAATTTTCCAGAATCAAAAATTAAGATTGTCTTTTGAATTTTTTTGCATTTTAAAAATGCCATTTCATAATGATGTTAGAGTTGTTTTCCACTAATTTTTACCCGCTCTATCGATAAGTAAAATCAAAATTGAGCAAAACTGAAAAATTTTAAAAATCGAGTTTTTATAATGGTGGCAAAGATTACAAATTTGTGGGGGCAACCTATAAGAGATGGGTTTTATGAAAAAGAAAAAACAGCATTATTGTGTTTCCTGCGGAGAAAGTGTTACGACAGAAAGAGAATACAATTTTTGTAAATTGGATGGGGTAGATAAGTCCCATAACAGTTGGATCAATAAAATCAACGATGTGGTTCAAATAAGGAATTATTGAGATTTTTTAAACAATAAAAATCATAGGATTCAATTGAAATCAAAATTTTGAAAAATCTCACAGTGACAATCCTACAGCTTTATCTACAGTGGCCACATCTTTTCCTATATCTGAAAATAATAATCAATAATTAATATAATGCTGATGATCTTGTTATAGAACTAAGAAGGTACAGGAGAAAGAAAATTAAAGATTTTGAAAGTTTGTAAAGGAATTTCCTAAACAAGTAGCTGCAAAGATTGAATTCAATCCATCTTGTGGGTTAAATCTCATAAGATTATGTAGATTATCATTATAAGGTTTAAGACCACCTTGCAAGCATCTGAAATTCCGTTTTCATAAGATTTAAATGGAAGTTCCTAGTTATTCAAGGGCAATTTTAAGTTCAAAATGTGTCTATTCCAGGCTCTCGAATCATCAGAAAACTTTTCCAGAAGCAACTCGACAATGTCAGCGACTCGGAAATAACTCTGAATCAATATATTGACTCTAACATCAAGAGCCAGGAATAGACAAAACTTGAAATCAACAATTTAGAAATAAGAACATGGAAACTCAAACTAACTGACTTTAGTAAAAGATTTTTTCAAAGTAAATTAATATACTTATACTTATTTATTTCCACTAATTTTTGTTAAACTTTAACATTAATAACTGACTTTATTGGGTACCTAGGAAAAAAATTCAAGAGCCTGGAATAAGGAGCCCTATTCAAGTTTTCCAGGATTTGTAAATGCAAATGGAAAACTCTAAATCGTTTCAAATCCAAATCATTGTATGGTTACTTACATTCAGGTATCGGTGGTGTAGTTTTCAAAATCCTCTTAGAAATTTCCTGCTGAGTATTCCGTTCTCCTTCCACTGTAAACGGTGAAGCCCCCGTAAGCAGCTCGTAAGTGAGAACTCCTACAGACCACCAATCAACGGCCTGAAAACAAAAAGAAGACACTGGTAAGTTATATATTGGCGTCAATTAGGTCCTATTATTAGACTTACACAGGACTTAAAAATAGATGGAATTTTCGAAAAAAAAAAATTGTCCACACTAATGTGTTCTATAAGGGGAAAGGGCAAATATCGATTACCGGATTATTAGTAAAACTGAGTTTCTAGGTCAGAAAATCACTCAAAGCTACCCATAATTGTTTGTTTGTTTGATGCAATTATGACTGAGTAATTTTAAATGGAACAATCTAGAAAATATTATTGAGAATAATTAAAAGTATGCACGTGAATTGAATGGAAATTTCCCATTATCGCACGTTTTTCCCTGGAATATGGCAAAAACAATTTTAATATCATCGTTTAGCCGGCAAATAATTTGAACATAGGGGGGTTGAAAAAATCCCTTAAAACCCAACCCTATTTCAGGTAAAAATTATTTGGGTGATTTCAACACGGAGAAAGGAAAGTGAAATTGGGTATTGCAATATAGAGATTTTCAAAACTATAACCCACTTCACTATAATAGCATACCTTCGGTGGTACCCAAGGCCGGTACCACTCTCTCTTTGCACAACCGAGCTAGACAGAGATAAAAACAAGAGTACTGGTTACGTAACGGAGGTTGCTGCAGAATCGCACGTGGTAAATACCGTGATGAAGATGCAGCCAAAGGTCGGTGCTTAAAGATTGATATATGGGGAACCACCACACTAAAATATTTTTAGTGATTTTTTTGTTTGTTCAAATGCAAGTCAAAAGATTTATACTGTGAAGTCTTTAGAAAGGGGTTGAGTATGTATAGTCTAGTTTTTGAGAGTTTTAACTTGAGCCTCCAAAATCATTGAATTCTAGAGTCTTCAATGGACTTTCCAAAGTATGAGATTATTAAGTAGGAAATCTTGTATCTTTTGATTAAATGTTGAGCTAAGAATTGTGACTCAAAGATCTTCGAAATCTTGTCTCATGAATCTCAATATTCACTGTTAAACATTGAATTTGTATCAAAGATGAATCTTGACTACTTAAAATTACACTCAAAATAGCGTTTTTAGTTCTGAGTAGCTTCAATATGGTCTGTTGACTCATCAGTATTTGAGTCTTTGGATCTTCCTAAAATCTACAATTCACTGTCAGCATATTGAAGATCATAAGTTTTGTATCAGTTATGAGTCGCTTTAAAATCTTCTGACTTGATTTTTTTATAGTGTTCATAAGAATGCCTAAGAATTTTGAATCAGAATCTTTGGATTTTCAATGTAGGTAATGAATTTTTGAGTCATTAGGTAGGTATGTAGCATCATTTCAAGTCAAGAATGAATGAAATTTTAGGTCATTTTAGACCTTAGATTGATTTTGCGTGTGTCAGAGACATTTTCTAATGATTCAAAAGCCAGTAATAATCAAAATTTGAACTATTCCCGGCTCTTGATTTTGTTTTGGGACTTTTTGGGATCCCCTCTATAAAATGGCTAATTTCGAAATTTTGACTTTGATTTTTGGTTCTGTACTTTTACCACAGGAAACTCTGAAAATCGAAACTTCAACCGGCTATAACTCCGTAACGGTAAGTCGTAGAGGAAAACTCTTCACAGGCAGATTGTAGAACTCACCTAGATCTACAAAAAAGCTTAAAGCGTCTTACCTCTCCGTCTTACCATTTCCGAAATATTTCACTTGGAAGTTTTAAAATCATTTTCGACCAAAAAATCAAAGTCAAAATTTCCCGGATTTTCTTTCACTACGTCATAGAGGAGGTCAAGAGAAATGTCGCAACCCACTTTTCACCCCGTTTTTCCAGGAGTTTCCGGACCTTTCCTTTTCTATACCCAATAAAATGAGAAAACGAAATTTTCCGAATTTTGTAAATTCCACTGTATAGAGGAGGTCAAAACAAGCAGAAAAGCTATTTGGCATTTTCCCATAGGATGTCTCTCAAGCCCGGAAAAAAAATAAAAAATTAATAGGGATGAGGCTTTTTAAGCCTGACATAGTCTTATTAAATGGGCCATAACTCTGGAACTCCTGGATCGATTTCAATGAATCATGTTTCATTCGATAAAGGATTCAATTGTCCACAGATTGTCTATATCCAGAATTTTCAGAATTATCCCGTTCCTAAGTTATGAGCCTTCAAAGTTAAAAATTTCTCAAAAACTAGCCTTAGCTTTGTTTCAGGTGGGGTTTCAACTTCCAGGACAACTCCTAGTGTCCTTTTGTCCATTTATTATTATTAGTTATGGAAAAAAATAAACAATAGAATGTTTTTTTTTTTTAAATTTCATTATTTTTCCCCCCCAATAGTGCAGTGCAGTGAATTGAGGCAGTGACGTGTTTATAAAAACAGATTTTCTAGAAAGTTTCAACTTTGAAGGCTGATAACGCAAAAACTAAACAACTATTTTGTGTCTCAGTGGTCCTTATTTGGAATCCCCCAAACTCCATGCACTAAATTATTCTGAGATTTGGAGCCAGATTCTATGAAAAAAGGCACTCAGAAAAATTGAAAAACTGATAAATCACCCCAAATTGCTTAACACTATTTTATCTCAGGAACTATAAGTCCAAATGAGCTGAAATTTTCAGGGATTGTAGTCCTCTAGTGGGATAAAATTCAGTGAAAGTTTCAGCTTTCTACCTATAATAGAAAAAAAGTTATGACCTTTCAAAGTTTTCCAAAATCTAAATAATAAGGTAGGTACCTTCTCACTAAAACGATGAAATTTCAATTTTTTTTCTGTCAAGATTTTGTACCCTGATGGTCAATGAATATCCCCCAAACTCCATACACTAAATTATTATCAGTTTTGGAGCCGGATTCTATGAAAAAATGCACTCAGAAAAATTGAAAAATTGATAAATCACCCCAAATTGCTTAACAGGATTTGATCTTGAGAACTATAAGTCCAAATGAGCTGAAATTTTCAGGGATTGTAGTCCTCTAGTGGGATAAGAATCACTGGAAATTTCAGCTTTCTACCTATAATAGAAAGAAAGTTATGACCTTTCAAAGTTTTCCAAAATCTAAATCATAAGGTAGGTACCATCTTACTAAAATGATGAAATTTCAAAATTTTTTTTGTTGAGATTTTGTATCCTAATGGTCAATCAACATACCCCAAACTCCATATACTAAATTATTCTCAGATTTGGAGCCGGATTCTATGAAAAAATGCACTCAGAAAAATTGAAAAATTGATAAATCACCCCAAATTGCTTAACAGAATTTGATCTTGAGAACTATAAGTCCAAATGAGCTGAAATTTTCAGGGATTGTAGTCCTCTAGTGGGATAAGAATCACTGGAAATTTCAGCTTTCTACCTATAATAGAAAGAAAGTTATGACCTTTCAAAGTTTTCCAAAATCTAAATCATAAGGTAGGTACCTTCTCACTAAAACGATGAAATTTCAAATTTTTTTCTGTCAAGATTTTGTACCCTAATGGTCAATGAATATCCCCCAAACTCCATACACTAAATTATTCTCAGATTTGGAGCCGGATTCTATGAAAAAATGCACTCAGAAAAATTGAAAAATTGATAAATCACCCCAAATTGCTTAACAGGATTTGATCTTGAGAACTATTAGTCCAAATGAGCTGAAATTTTCAGGGATTGTAGTCCTCTAGTGGGATAAGAATCACTGGAAATTTCAGCTTTCTACCTATAATAGAAAAAAAGTTATGACCTTCCAAAGTTTTCCAAAATCTAAATAATAAGGCAGCTACCTTCTTACTAAAACGATGAAATTTCAAATTTTTTTTGGTTGAGATATTGTGTCTTAATGGTCCTTTGGAATCCCTCAAACTTCAGCCGGGAATTGCTACAATTTTACTCAGAAATACCTTGTCCAATCAAAACCGTGCAGTAACTCGAATAATTGACATTGACATGGAACTTAAGAGCTCAAGAGCCGGAAATCACTAAAATTCGACTCGCAGAAACACTTTGTCCAATCAAAACCGTATACCGTATCTCCATTAAATTGACATTGACATAAAACTTAGAGGAATCAAGAGCTTGGAATAAGCAAATTTTGAACCTAAACTTTAATGTCAGTGGCTCAGAAATAACTCTGAATCAATATATTGACCTAAATGTATTGCGAGACGATTCGAGAGCCGGGAATAAGCAAATTTTGAACTTGAACTTCAATATAGGAGACTCAGAAATAACAATGAATCAATATATTGACTTTGATATTAAGGGCAAGACTTAAAGGCAACATTCTTATAGCTCAGAAACTACAAACTCAAACTTATTAACTTCATTGTGTATCAAAGCGATTCAAGAGCCGCGAAAAGACACATTTTGAACTCAAACTTGAATGTTGGTGACTCAGAAATAACTAGTGACATAAGCAAATTTTGAACTTAAACTTCAATGTAGGAAACTCAGAAATAACTCTGAATTAATATAATGACTTTGGTATTAAAAACAATCAAGGTAACATTCTATAGCTCAGAAATTACAAACACTAACTTATTGACTTCATTGTGTACCAAAGCGATTCAAGAGCCGCGAAAAGACACATTTTGAACTCAAACTTGAATGTTGGTGACTCAGAAATAACTAGTGACATAAGCAAATTTTGAACTTAAACTTCAATGTAGGAGACTCAGAAATAACTGTGAATTAATATAATGACTTTGATATTAAAAACAAGACTTAAAGGGTCAAGGTAACATTCTATAGCTCAGAAATTACAAACACAAACTTATTGACTTCATTGTGTACCAAAGCGATTCAAGAGCCGCGAATAGGCACATTTTGAACTCAAACTTGAATGTTGGTGACTCAGAAATAACTAGTGACATAAGCAAATTTTGAACTTAAACTTCAATGTAGGAGACTCAGAAATAACTCTGAATTAATATAATGACTTTGATATTAAAAACAAGACTTAAAGGGTCAAGGTAACATTCTATAGCTCAGAAATTACAAACACAAACTTATTGACTCCATTGTGTACCGAAGCGATTCAAG